AGGGTGGTTGACAGCTCAGGAGCCAAGTTTGGAAATATTTGTATGAGTTTTTAATTACTGGTCTGTTTTACTTATTTAATTGCACATATTCGTTTGCCTAATCTTAGAGACTTTTTACCTAGCATTGTTAATGAGACAGTAGCATAGCACAATCCATTTGTATTTGGATAGTAAGGATATTCAGCTTGTAAGTTAAGGGGGACAATGCCATTTTCTTTTGAGGCCAGATTCAATATTATACTTAAAGTTTCAGAACTTATGGCTTGTGTTTGCTTTCTAGATAATTTTCTTGACCATTATGCCTAATTTCCTATATATGTGTCTAGATTTTCCATCTACTTTTGTGGATCAGAATACATTATAAAGCTAAGAAGAAGGAAAGATAGGGTTGGAGGCATTAAAAGGGGATAAGGGTTTGTTTTTTTCTTGGCCATAAAATTACATGGGTGAGGGCACCTACAGTTACCCAAAAGCCTATGTACAGATAACTGGTAAACTACACCATACCCTGTGTGAATGAGTAGGTATTTTAGGGCGTTCACACTGCCTTCTCTAGAAGATTGAGGAAGTATAAGAGCTGATAGTGTTCAGGCCAGTTTGGGTGATCTTTGAAAATCATTCAGAATTTTAGATAGTTGTATAGTAGGGCAGCCTAGCCTATTTCGGTAGCTCCTTTTAGCCACTCACCTAGAACATTTTTGGTGTTCTCTGTCTTTGAAATGTGTTACAGTTCAAATTACTAAAGCTCTTTTCTAGCACTCTGTACAATTTGGTGTGTACCTGCTATTTAGATATTTTAGCTCAGCTTGGTAGACCTACATTTCAAGGTCCTTCCAAATAGGTAACTTGGATCAAGCAAGTGGAGTTTGACTTTTCACTTATTCCAGAAGCAAGTTTTATTGTTGAGGCTTTTTATGTACAAATACGACCCTCAACTATATTTATACCTATATAAACTCCATTTGTGTCTTTAAGCCTTTAAATCAGACCATGTTACTTGTCTGCCCAAATCCCCCTAATGAATCTCATTTGGGATATAATCTAAACTACTCACCATAATTTAGCCAGTGAGTGCACTGGTCATCCCTATATAGGATCTGAACCCGCGGCGGGAGCGCTGCTGCGCTCCCAGCGCCGCACTCTCCCAAGTGCGCCACGGGCTCGGCCCTCACCATAATTTAGATCATTTGAGCCATCACCGCTTTCTCACCTCATCTCCTATCCTTGCTTACACTATTCCAATAACATTGGCTTATTTTCTATAACATTGGCCTATTTTCTTTGACAAGCCAAGGTGTTTTCTGCTTTAGGAATTTGTGTGTGTGTGTGGCTTGCCGGTGGAGGGATTGAACCCTGGGCCTTGGTGTTATCAGCGCCACGCTCTAACCAACTTGAGCTAATCAGCCAGGGATTTTAACTTGTTTTTCCCTCCACCTATAAGGCATTTCCCACAGTTACCACCAGGCTTACTCCCTCGCTTTATTCAAATTTCTGTCACATGAAATGTCTTTGAAAAGACCTTTCTGACTTATCTGAAATAACCTGTACCTCCCACTCGTTTCCTTTTCTTCATGGCCTTTTATCACTAACAGTTTATACTATATATATGTATTTTACCTATTGTCTCTCTACACTAGATTACTATCTCCATGAGGACTTTGTTCGTCTTACCACTTATATTAGTTGCTTGGGCTGCCATAAAGAAAATACCACAGATTGAGTGGCTTAAAGAACAGAAATTTATTTTCTCACAGTTCTGGAGGCTAGAAGTCCAAGACCAAGGTTCTGGCCTATTCAGTTTCTGGTGAGAGCTCTTCTCCTGGCCTTTAGACAGCCTCCTTCTTGCTGTATCTTCACATAGCCTTTCCTCAGTGCATGTGCACAGAGAGCATGGACAGGCTGGAGGGCCACTCCCTGGTGTCTCTTTTTATAAGGATGTCTCTTCTTATAAGGATGCTAATCCTATTGAATCAGGGCCCCACCCTTATGACCTCATTTAATCTTAATTACTTCCTTACAGGCCCTGTCTCTAAATAAAGCCACCATGGCAGCTAGGGCTTCAACATATTATTTTGTGGGGGAGAGCAACCAGACATTCAATCCAAAAAACCACTGTATCCTCATTACCCTACAATTGCCTGCCACATACTAGGTGCCTGATAAATAACTGTGAATTACTGAATGATTTTTCTAATGTGTAATTTTTAATGGTTGCATGGTTTAGTATTTTCACTATATGTAAGATTTTTTTATCTAGCTACCTCTCTATTGTGCTGTGGCGATCATCCCTATAAATTAATCTTTAGGTAAATCTAACCAGTTAATCTGTGATTAAGATTCTCAACTTAAATAACAAAGAGAGGCCCTCTAAAAGAAAATTATATTTATTCAGGAATATAACATTGCAATGGGAATACACATGCCATAGTAAACTATGTGAGTATTCAGGAAGGTAAAGGGAGACAACGGTTTTTAAAGGAAAAATGATGGAGGATTACATAATTGGGGATAATTATCTTTGGCAAGGATCAATAACAAGGGTGGTGCAATCTGAGGCTGGACAGGAAGCTGCTGGGCAGATGTCCTTGCAGAAGTATTTTTTCGTATAAGGTTGTAATGGCCTTTGTGCAAAATTGTGGTTTTGCAGAGTCCTTTTGATACAGTTGTTTTTATCAGGCATATGTGCATGAAAACTCTTCCTTTCATGGCCTTCCCTGGCTCCATTTGTCAGAGTTTTTTCTTAAACATAAATGACTCCATTTTCATTCTGAAAATTTTTCCAAGATATAAGGTTTTAAAATAATAATGAGAGCAGCATTGTATAATCTTTTTTGTTGTTGTTGTTAACTGGCCAGTAGAGGAATCTGAACCCATGACCTTGGTGTTTAACCTTGCTCTCTAACCAGCTGAGCTAACCGGCCAGCTCATTGTTGCATAATCTTGAAGAGCATGGATTCTGGATCCAGAATGAGTTTGAATCCCAGCTGCTCCACTTGAACAATTTGTGTATCCTCTCTATGCTATGGTTTATATTCCATATAAAATAGGGATAATAATATACCTTTTACTGATATCGTGAGACTTAAATGAATTATTATTTGTAATGCTCTTCATACCAGGCATATAATAAGCCCTAAATAAGTGCTTTTCAAATTGAAAGTTTTAGGAGGACATAAATTTTAAAGTAACGGTATTACATATTGGTAAATATGGGAGAACTCCATCCTTTACTGATGGAAATGTAAATTGTTATAGCCACTTTGGAGAACTATTATTCACTGGCAGGTTAATAAAATAC